TTATAACCAGCAGAAGTTGATTGTTGCTTATCATCTGACTGAAGCATCTCAAAGTTTCCATTATCAAGATCGAATCCACCAGAGGCACCCCGTTCCTGCTCATGCCAGTGATCCTGCTCAGCCTCCCTAGGGTTCAAATCTGAAGGACCAAAATTTTCAGTACCAAGTTCATGTGAATCTTCCGGTTTTGAGGCCACTCCAATGCCAGGAAAATAATGGGTCATGTGTGGAGGGACCAGACTTTGGGGAAATTGCATATTTGCACCAGATTGAGTCTCAATCAAGGGAATATTAGGGAACATTCCACTTAAATTTCTGTGAGAATATCCCATTGAAGCTAGAACAGAAGGTGGGAATGGAAGAGGTAGCTGACCAGAGCCCATATTCAGTGGAAAATGGACCTGTCCATTAAAATTATGAGCAGCATTTGCCATCATATTCACAAGATCTTGCTCCTCCTGTTGCATCCCTAGTGTGCCCACACCAGAAGAAAACTCTTCCCCCATAGCACCCAAGACAAAATCATCATTGTAACTATTCAACACACTGTTTGAATCAGCAGGCGCATCAAGGCTTTGACGGGATGAGGTGTGGCTAACAGATGACGGATCATCAGTTGAAGATCTAATGTCATGACTCACCAAAATATCAGATTCCAAGTTCTTTCTCCGACTATTGTCCAGCCTTAATGAAGCAAGGTGACCTTTTCCACTATCTGAGGCTTTGTTAGTTCTTCCTTGGGTAGAAACTTCACCATATGTGTCTGTGAGCTCAGGGCTAGAGCGTGTCCTTGCAAAAAGATACCTACCTCTAATGTCACTAGCCAAGCTATCAGGCTTAAAACTTCTGAGAACTTTATCATTCTGCGCATTCTGATTGGTATTGATATCCCGTCTGACCTGATCAGGGGTCCTGGTGTTGTTCAAGTTACCATAACTCCTTTGGGTTTGGGCATGAGAAACTGTAGAGAAATAACTGCTTCTAGAAGTGCTTTCAGAGGGATGATTACCAAGTTGAGAGGGAGCACCAAAAGATTCATGTGACCTATCCACTTGAGTTTCATGACCAGAGGAAACCTCATTTCTTTGACCACTGGAATTTGAATTGGTATGAAGATTCTCAGACTCAACTTGATGGTCTAGATTTGATAACCTCAAGCGCCACAAGTCATTCCTTGGTGCATCAGGACGATGGCCACTACCATGTCTGTCCCAAGTGTTCATAAAAAACTGATTTACTTCATAATGTAGATCCTCTTTGGGGCAATCAAGTAACCTCGCCAACCTTTTAGCCCCAAATGCAAATGCACTACGTATCCTAAAGAAGTTACCTGCATAATTGAAACATATATGTACAGAAATAAACAAATCACTAAACATTCAAACAGATAATACAAAAGCCGGTCAAGATGTTACAACAAGAGCGTTAACATTTCACAGAAGATGTTATATGTTTATAAAAACTAAGGAGCCTAAGTGCATAACTTGATATTTTCTTCCTTTTAAACAGCAGTCTCTAACCTCACACAGATAGCAATTTTGAGTTGCAGATATATATCGGTATTAATGAATTTGCCACCACGTTCAGATTATTTTTTGAACTTCTAAGAGAAATTGTTACAAAAATGCATATCATCTACAAATGTGTGCTGGTGTACTTCATGCAGGCACAAACAAAGAAATGCAAGGAATGTGTTAAGTTAAAAATACGATCATTAAGATTTCAAATCAAACAAAAAGTAGATCATTTCAACCAAGTCTCAAACATCTTAGCAGATTAAGCCCAAAAAAGGAAAGTAGCATCTTTAGGTAAATATTTTAGAGCCCATGCAAGCAAAGAATGTGACACAAAGACAAATCTAGATACTGAAAATGTATTTAGTGCACCTTTACTAACACTGCGTCCAAGGTTGTTGTTTTCACGCAAAGGATCAATCACATTAAAATGTTTCGAAACAAAAGGTTGGCTCGGATTTTCTTGCCCAACAGGACAAACAGCATATGTAGTGCTACACGCATCAAGAAATGATTTGCTAAGCAGCAACACTCCGCCATCTTTTCGAGGTGGTTCTGCTGTAAAACATAACAATACAAGGAATGTTAATCCTGGCATATGGCCAAACATTTGCAAACTAGAGGTTAAAGTATCAAAACATTAATTAAAATCTTTAAGGAAATAATTCTACCAGTTACATCTGGAAGTGAACTGATGGGTACAGGACCCCAGAGGCTAAGACAAAAGTTGTCCCAGTCAAACTTACTAAAGAACTCTAGAAAACGATAAAGGACCTGCAATTGCAAAGGAACAAACATTCAGAAACATAAATAAACAAATGTAGAAGATAGAGATATTGTGGTCACACAGCCACCTCGAGTGGTCCAGAAAAAGAATTGTTGAAAACATGAAATATGTAAAGAACCAAGGTCTCTAGTGCATAAGTCGATATGAGTCCATGGTGAGCACCCAGTATACGGCTCTCATAGTAACACCAAGCTTTTATCAATATAATGCTACGCTTGAATAGATGACTGTGATTTATCACGTGGTCAACCTATGGAAGAGAAAAGAAAAAAATTCATTTAAAAAAGACACAAAAGCATTATAAAGAAAGATTCAATTAAAGGCTACTAGTATGGACATTCACCTCTTCAAGGAAACAAAGGGTGCATAACCCTCCAAGCTGGTTAAACGATATGTCTACCACAATATTTTCCACAAGACACTTTATTAGTTTTACCTGATAATAAATAAAGGAAAAGAGAGAGTTAAATTTACCACCAAGAAAAAAATCCATAAGGCAAGAAGTGCTAACTAGATTATATGAAAATTTATGCATACGTTATCCAAAAGATTATAATAAAGATTTAGTGGACAAATAAGCATCCTCTTTAATAAATATCACTAGTATAAATACAGTCGCAGCTAATTGCATTGCAAGACTTATGCTAAAATTTCAAGAGAAGAAAATGTGATAAATTAAAAACGAAGAGCTCCTTAACACTTGAAATTAAATTTAAAAGAAAAGGACAAAGAAGAGAGACACAATAAGGTTTATCTGTTCACGACACAAGATGAGATTCTTCAATAATCAACAGTATCCCCTAGCACACAAAATAATACACTATTTGGTATTGGGGCTTTCCCTTCTCAATAATCATGTATATCTTATCTATCTATAGCAGTTCAGGAATTTTTCATTGTAAGATTTTTTTTGCTGCTCTACCTAGTAGTTAAATGTTTATAAATCAACTAATGCAACTCCCCTGATTCAAAAGCCATCTACTGAGGTAAATCTCATGCATGACTTGTATTAAATATATTCACAATTGGACAAGAAATAAGACACCAGGGCTGAATTCAAGACAAGGTGGTCGACTATGTAAAAAACATTAAAGCTTTAAGGAAACCATTGAAACCTACTTCTGCCTGAATGTATTGAACCTCCTTCACATGGAATTCAGCGTGCTCATTTTTCTCCTCATTCTCCAACATATCGCGCACCTGATGTGCCCATGTGTCCTTCAAATTTTGATTATCACTGAAGGCTGTTAAGTCAATGTCCCCATCAGGCAAATACGTCTTAAGGGGAACGGACCCAAAAGTGAAAACCTGTAGATTAAAATGGACACAAATAAATACCGACATAAGAAAAGATGAGATGAGTATGCAAAAAGATCTGCCCACTATAAATTAACCCTAGTCTCCACCCATTTATTTTGTATCTTTACATTAACTTACTACTTAAAAACAACAATAAATTCTTATAACAATACAATAAAACAGAAATCCTTATATATACACGTATTTATCAATAGAAAAGGCCAACCTGACAAGGGAAACATTTGACTATGAGGCGCTGCACATAGTCTGCAACAGCACTGCGGCGCTCCTCAGAGAAAGAGTTTGGCTGAATGCAGGCAATAAGCTCTGCAGTTCTGTCCTCGGCCTTCAACCATCGTTCCGAGTCAAGAACTCGGATGACTGAAGCCGCCTCATTGGGCAATAAACCATTTAATAATAGCCCACTTGGTGGCTCCGTCCACCCTTCATGCTCTCCCATGCAATCCCTATGATTTTCCCTCGGCCAAACGTAACCCAAAATGTCTCCACCACCCGCAACAACAAGACAAACAGATTTAAAACCACAGCAGGTAATACAATAACTACTTGATGATGTTTTGCTGGATTAAACTAAGTTATTCGCATTCAGATAATTACAGTTTTTATGCTGCCAGACAAAGAAACTTGGAAATTAGTTGAGTTTCTCTAATATTTTTCTGAAGTAATACTAACAAACATTGGGGTATTGTATTACCTAAAGAAAAATACAGAATTGTAAATTGTAACAAATTGAATCTACCGAGTAAAGAAAGGTGCAAACCCTAGGCGATTAATAACCAAGCAGAAGAAAATCAGTGATAAAAATTGGGGTTGGCTTAAATTATGAAAACCTAAGAAGAATGTTTTGAACCGAAGTATGGGTGTGTCGGCGAATCAAAGATGAAAGTATAGGGATGGTTGTTTGGACGAAGAGGGACAAAGACAAAATAGCAAATGCGAGAGGCCAAGATTGGGGTATTAAATAAAATGGCGGAAAGATGAGGGGTGTGGATCAATATTAGGTTTTTATTGAGAGAAAGAGAAAGGGCGTGTTTGGTTACAAGAATAAGGAATTTTGGAGGCGAAACGAGAGAGGGACGATGAGGAAGGAAGTTAGCACATTCAAGGGGTTTTTCTATTTTTTAAATTACAAATATATTGAGAAAGAGAGAGGATGATATAATCTGGGGAAGGAACAGAGAGAGAGAAAGAGAGGAAACATAATGAAAAATTGTTTTTGATAAATTATTACCAGCGTTCTTTTCTTTTCTTGTTTTTCCTGACAGAAGGGCTAGGCCCAATAAAAAGCTCCGGCCCAATAAAAAGCTCCGGCCCAAGTCGTCAAAGGTATCTTTTGAGACAGCACCGGTTTTCAAATTTATACCGTTTCGTTCGTTGAAACGCACAGTTGGTTTCTGATAAAGCAGTACGACATCATACCGTCTAAATTCGGTTTTTGAGACAGCAACGGTTTTCATTCTCCGAACCCGCGTTGGATTTCAACAAACTATTCATAATTGAAAGGAGAGCGGTTTACTAAAAACCCTAATTCTTGCTCAGCAATTCAACTCCTGGAAATAATCCTTCACAGTAGGTAATTGATATATATACTCTTTCTATCTCCATTCTGGAACTTTGATTGGTTATGCATTCGATTTTTAGTTTCACTGTGTTCGTCCAATTAGGGTTTACGCATTCAGATCATATGTGATTGATTTTTGGGTGGTTTTGTCTTTTGAATGTTAAAGCAAATGAGTTTTAACTAATTTACCATTTCGGTACTGTGATTGCCGTATTTTTAGGTTCCTTCGCTGTAATCTGATATTCTGTGGTTACAGCATTTTTGAAGCTTCGCGTTTTTACTTTTAAATGGCTCAGTCAGGCGAAGCTCAACAGTCAGAGCAAGGTTTGCTTTTATTTTCTTTTTCGCCTTGTTTTATTTTCGTTTATATTAGCTGTTGTCATTTCCTGTTAATTCTAAAACTTCTGTATTTTCAGTTTGCAATTTCTTTAGAAAGCCATCAAAGAATAAGAACATTAGAAAAAGAACTACGGATGAAGAGGAAGAGGAAGATTCAAAAACGGAGAGTTCAGTGTTACAGAACCTCAAAAAGGCACCCAAGTCTGATGGGAAGCTATTTTTTTCAACTGGGTCCTCTAAGAGCGTTAGGTCCACTGAATCAAATGCAGAAACTGATAAGCGAATATTTCAGTTTGAGTCTTCAAAGGAAATTCAAGTACAGCACGACAGCAAAGCAACAGCAACTCTTGAAACTGAGACTGAGTTCTCAAGAGACTCTCGTGCTCTTCGTGAGAAAGTCCTTAAGCGATCAGAGGAGGCTTTGAAGGGAAAAGGTTCAGGTGATGAGAAATTGTATAAAGGGATTCATGGATATGTTGATCACAAGGCTGGCTTCCGAAGAGAGCATACTATTTCAAGTGAGAAAGCTGGGGGTTCGCATGGCCCTCTTAGAGCTTCTGCTCATATAAGGGTATCTGCAAGGTTTGATTATCAGCCAGACATATGCAAAGATTACAAAGAGACTGGTTACTGTGGGTATGGTGATTCATGTAAGTTTATGCATGATCGAGGGGATTACAAGTCTGGGTGGCAGATGGAAAAGGAGTGGGAGGAAGCAGAGAAGGCAAGGAAGAGAAATTTGGCTATGGGAGGGAATGATGCGGATGAAGGTGACGAAGTTCCAAGTGATGAAGATGATGATGACGCGTTGCCCTTTGCTTGTTTCATTTGTAGACAGCCTTTTGTGGATCCTGTTATGACTAAATGCAAGCACTACTTCTGTGAGCATTGTGCTTTAAAGGTATAATATGTCCCATTTTTATCATAATGACTAATGAGGCATAATCTATCTAATGTTTGTCCTTGATTTTGTTGTATATATATATTCATGTATGAATTGGTTGATTTTGTATCTTTGGCCAAATGGTTATGCAACGTTTTTCTTATATGAAGATTAGAGCTTCTGTTTACATTTTATTCACACTAGATGTCAACTTGTTATACTTCCTCCAAGAAATGTCTTTGGGGAAATTGCAGGTTTAAGTAATGTTATAAAAGCTTGATAATGGAGCTAGAATTCTTATTTTTCTTTGATTTAGAGAAATGTTTATTACTATTAAACATAGTCAATGTTTAACATTTTAACGGGTGTGTTTTCTGTTTATTTTGTACTTTAGGTCATAATTACAACTTTCTTTTCACTTTCATGTCTAATACCAAGTTCATATATCTTTTCTCATTTAATCATAATCTAACTCAAGTCCCTCTTTTGTGCTTTTCTGTCCCCAGCATCATGCAAAGAACAAGAAGTGCTTCGTATGCAACCAACCAACACTTGGCATTTTTAATACAGCTCATGAGATACGCAAAAGGATGGCTGAAGAGGGTAGAAAATAATCTCATAAACTTCTTTGCCTTTTGGTCCTGTGGACTGTAAATCCTTCTTCAATGTCAATGATTTACACGTATCTTTGGGCAGATGTGGAATTACTGGGTCAGGTTTCGAGCTACCTCCTTTGGGTGATTGTTTAAGTGCCCATGCTTGATACTTTCTCTTCCCTCTTGGTGGATGATTAATAATAGTTGACGATGATCCTATATTGTTTACATTGGGTATCGTCAATTTGTAGTATTTTTCCCAAGGATTTAACATGATTTAAACTCCAGAAACAAAGTAGTATGGCCATCCTCTGAAGTCTTCTTCTGTAATGTTAGCAATTTTCTTTGTAATTTCTTTCTTAATTGATCTGATATTGAACGGTTTTTTATCACCATTATAGTACATATATGTATTACTTGAGAGTAATGTACTTTTTTGCCCTTAAGATGCTCTGCTTTCTTCTAATTTTATTCTTCTTAATACTTTTAATGGTATATATTCCGTGTTTCAACTAGTGGAAAAATTATTTCGATGAGAGAGTCCATATGCAAAAGAAAGAGGAGAAACCTGTGCAATCTATTTTATTAACAGTGTTAGTCGGTGATGAATAACACATTCATATGGGGTAAGAACTTATGTATAGCAGCTGTACATGAAAGAGATACACACAAAGAGAGAATAAATTAAATCCCCCAATTTAATGTATTAACGGATCACCCCGTAAATGGCTTCAAACACCAGTCATAACCTCCTTCGTCAACAACTTATCACCCTGCAAGTTATTTTCATGGCTCCAGGAGTGTGGAGAAGGTGAAGTAAGCAAAGGCCATAATAGATTCCTCTGTTTTCTGGCTTTACGAAACACCATCCTTGTATGTTGTCTAAGAACTCCATTTACAGCTTTCAAGTAATTGCTTGAGTCATGGTCTCTTAGGATTGTGCCTTCTGAACCATATGCAGTAGGATCACTTAGAGTATCTAAAGGGTGGGGACAGTTTAGGAAGGAATTTAATGCGCTGGTGTACCCAAACTGGGTCTTGTCTAGGGCATATAGAGCATTCCCCGGAGGAAGAAGTGGATGCGAAGGAGATGATTTCTCATTCGGTTGGAGAACAAAAATTTTGCCCAATGGAGAGTATAACATTTTCTGCATAAACAACCAGACGGTAGTCAATAAACTTAGAAAGTAGATTGAAGAATGGTTGTGACTTTTTTGTATCATGAATGAGATACTTACATTTTTATTTAGACAAGGGTGTGATCGTAAGGGACCATTCAGACGCTTGAGGACTAAGGCCACATGGTTGGGATAGTTGCAGGAGAAGGCTCTAGGTACAATATCTCTATGCATCATCACACAATGAACATGGCTCTCGTCCAATCCCAAATAATCGAGTATCTTTCGGCCTCCACAGAACACAGACGGTGAACCAAAGGTAACTACTGGTCGAAGACAAGAGGGCTTGACAATATTTCTAGTCAATAGCATCAAATTTACAAGAAGAGAGAGACTACCACCAAGCGAATGACCAGTAAATTGAAGCTTTGCACGATCACCATATTTATTTACATGGTCCATGATCTCTGGCATGAATTGCTCGTATATTCCTTTTGCAGCTTCATAAATTCCCCTATGAACAAGCACATCTGTTCCCTGAGAGAAAGGCAATAAGATTTTAATGATGTTAGTTTTCTTTTATTATTCTGATTGAAAGGTGCTCTTTAAGCTCACCTCAAATCTAGTAGGCTCGAAGAAAAGATTAGCTTGCCAAGATGCCAGGGAGTCCGATCCCTGCAACAGAAAGAATACTAGCATGTCAGGCATTCAGTAATACTAATGTCAATCTGTATTGAAAATGAAGAAGAATAACTGTTTCATATAAACACTTCATGGTTGCTAAAAAATTATGGATATGAGGTAAGATGGAGGAGGAAAAAAGAATTGACCTGAATCACAAAGCAGCGAGTGTATGTGCTTGAATCGTCACAAACAAACCATTCACAAGGTGAAGAATGAAGGGACTGAAGATCCTCTGCAGCCTCTAGCTTTTCCTTCTCTCCTGCTGCAACAACTGCAGTCATTGTTGATGCTGCTACGTAAGCAGCTACCTCTGATTTGTATACTCGAGGAGAATTCCCTTCAACTTCTTGTGGTTGGTCTCTATTGTCACATAAATTTATATCAGCATCCTCGCGTGAATCAGAGCCAAGAGACAGAAGGTCCTTAGCACGGGATTGAACATAAGATGCAGCTGATGCCGCAATCTTAGAAGCAACAGATGGTCGAGTTGGACGTATCTGCTCAAGTTTCAGAGTGTTTTCTGAATAAGATTGAGCGACTATTGGGTCGGGTACAGGAATAGAGTCTTGATTGAGTTCATCTTTTATGGCAGCTGCCTCTGCTTTCTTTTCGAGGGAAGATGTTACAAACTGAATGCCATAGTACCTTCTCAAATCCTTAGCCTGCATATTACGAGGATGAATTTATTTCTTTGTCTAGCTAGATATGTTTAATTTACTCCCAGCTACTTTGATAATAAAATGAGTAAAAGAAAAACTATGATTACAAATCCTGGGAAATTAATCATTTTCTCTTCTAATTGTTTCTACAATCCAAAGTTAAAATTTTAGCTAGAATAATTAGTCGATGCCATGTTATCAACTAGACATATAGTGAAGTTCAAAAAGCTTTGGACAGTCCTCAGACTAGCCATTCTATTGGTTGTTTCTAATTAAGAAATTGTCTAATTGGGTGATGGGCAAACATGATGTGCAAGAAAAGAAAAGCACATACCTTAATCTCAGGTATCACATAAGCCATGTTGCACAAGAAAGCCAGTTGAGAAAATAGCTTGGTATCAGACAATGGTACTCTAACCAATAATCTTGAGAAGGATTCACGGTCATATCTAACTTCACCTCCTTCTTCGACTTCAGAACCATAACCTACCTCACAACCACCCTCATTTGCATCACACTCACGAAAACTATTTTCATCCTCTTCACGAGCATCTTCTCCATCTTTATTCTCTTCTTGCGGCCTACTCGCCCATTCTTTTCTGATTTGCATAAGCCTCTCCACCCAATTTGCCCTATTTATTTTCCTTTCTTCTTCACTGCTCTCCTCAGCATCGTCAACAACAATATTCATGTCCTTCTCTTCTATATTCATATCTTTACTCGTTTCAGGTTCAAATAAAAACGATCTTACTGAATTTGGGATTATAGAGCTAGTTATCTGAAATGGGAAGAATCCAACTGAAGGGCTGCTCTTCAGTTTTGGTTGTGTTGATGCTGCACGTACACGATTTATAGAGTGACAAAGGTTGTTATCAGAATAAGACCTTCGAAGACCTGCTTGTTTACAAAGATCTTTGCCTGACTGTGATCTACGAAGACCATCATTTTCTCGGAAGATGTCTTTAGTTTTTGTGCCAACTGGGGAGGTAGTAATGCTCACTGTTGTATATGCCATCACTTGTATCAGATTTTTGTTCCACAAATGCTAGCACTCCTCCTACTGATAATTAACACTTTCCACCCCTTGGCTAAGCCTGATAAATAACCAACCTCTTTTAACGAACAATGTATAAAAATACATATATAATTAGTACTGAAACTAAAAACTTGGAGATTTTGGCGGAGTTACTGAAAACAAACTAGTTATGGCAACAAACCTTATAAAGACACCTTGGAGAACCAAGAACAACCTCGATAACAACAAGACGATCAAGATGCCACAATGTTTTTGCATTTGGTCAAATTACCAAATTATAGGCTATCGGCTTATGGCTATATAAGACTGTTACGAAATTGAGGCTATACAAGTCATTAAAAAAAAGACACATAAATAGGTTTGTCCAAGATGAGGTTTCCATCACCAACCGTACTTAGAGTATGTGTTAATCTAGGTACTAAACGGTAAAGTTTTAGATTATACTTGATTACTTTTAGCTTAATGGAATCAAATATGCTCCTTCAGCGACTAACATTATCACTACTGTTAAATTTCATAACGGTGACTCCTATCCTCCTAGGTTTACTCACTTCACTAATATCTTTAAGCAAATTTAATCCAATATTTTCGATTCTTCTATGTTCAAACGTAAACTAAATCCGGGATTGAAACTTAAATTTGAAAAAATTCAAAGTAGAAATATATTTACTAAGAAAAAATTTTTGGTTACATTGAAATCTATAATATGCAAAATGAATCTCTTAGAAATGGGGTTGTTGAATAGACTTTGAAGGTGTATGGTTCATAAAAAGACATATGCAGACGTGGTCAGTCCAAACAGTAGAAGGTTGTGTAACGAAATTTGTCTTAAGCGAAAAAAGTTTGATGGTGCTGGTCTTAATGGGAGGCTCGAGGCTTTACCTTTCAGGTTACCGTTCCAAATCTAAGTATCTCCCATTCTTGAAAATGTCCGTCCTCGATTATATCTGCCACTAATTACAAAAATTAGGTGGTTATAGAAAAGAAACTAAAAACTAAAAGGAGTGTTTCACATAGGGGTTACAACTTTGAAAAGCATGTGGTCACATAATTCTATTAAATAAACTCTTGAAATTATCGAAAATTTTAAAAGGTTGGGACCGACGTTGTTTTAATCTTAATAACTCTTTATCAAATCGGAACTAACAAAGCCACTATTAAATATATAACGTTTATGAATATACCGCAACTTACAATGCCAAAGTAAATTATAATTAAATACAAACTAGGACTGTATTATTCAGTTCAACCCAATGAAAGAAAAGGGGAGAAAGAAACTGCACGGGGATTGGGCCCAGCCTAGCCTGGCCCAGACCAGGGGGAAACAGCACCTAGATGAGTTGTAGCCATTTTTTAGCTCTAATTTGGTTGATCAAACAAAAACTTGAAGAAAGTCAGAGAAGGAAACTTTTGTTGAGTTTAATGTAATTAATTAGTAACAATAATTCTGATAATCATATGCATATAGAAGACCGTAAACTCGGAACAAAACCGAAAGAGCTTTGTAGAAAATCAAAAGTACCTAGAATATTCAAGCCTTCATGCTGTTATTTCCTTCCAGAATCTGATCGTTCCAATGGAAGTGACGGCGGCATTGAAAGGGAAAGCTAAATTATACATGTATATAGCTCACATTGACATAATCCCATCAATGGAATCTACCAGAAACAAAAGCCTTGACATTTCAAAATATTTAGACAAGGAAGCTAAGCGGCAACGGGAATGTGAATTTTTATGTTGTTGTTTGAAGGTGTATTCGGACAAGACGCTCAATTATCGCGACTCTTATTTGTACAATTGGTTTCTTTCTCTTTGGGGAGATCTGAGTAATTTATATATAAGAGGAATCGATTCAAAGAATCGCCTGAGAAAGTGTCCACGTACCAGAGAATCTAATCACGTGGATGTTTTATAAGCGTTACCACCTTTAAACATGTAATTTTTTTCTTTGACGTAAATGCCCCTAATGTATTTATGAATTTGTGGGATTTAAGGAAGTGGTGAGTAGCCAAATGTGTGGTTGCATGAAGGAGTGAGTGCCAGTAGGCTACACATTTTGTGAGCTTGGTGGCATGTGCACCTCCTGCCTTATTTGTTTTGCTTTCCCGCCTATTCCAGTGACGTTACGAATTATGATAGAAACCGAAACTGCGCCTACATCTCTTCCCATTTTAAACACTTGCCACGTTTTCTTAACAAAGATTCTAGTTCTACCACCCTCCTCCTCCTCAGCCCTCCCCCTCCCGCTCCCCCACCGTCACCGAATCTCTTTTCTTTGTGTTAACACGTGTCGTGTCATGTACCTTAATGACGTCACTCTTCTGCCCACCCAGTTCTAACTTCTCACGTGTTTTTCATGTCTCAGTGTCAGTGCTTCCTCGTCTTTTCTAATGGACTGGGCATACGTGTAATTAGTTGGGTCATGTTTCGGCCCGAGATTTTGATTTTGGGTCATACTATATCAGTTTGCTACAATGTTATACTCACTTAAACTGGAGATGAAAACTTCTGTTGACGTTTTTTATTATTTATTGGGCCCGTTTGGATAGGGTCATATTAGATAACAATAATATTTTTAAATTGAACAGATCATGATGTTTAGTTGATTTATAAAAAATTATTCTCAAAATCATATATGTCAAACAGTGACATTTGGGGGGTAACTTGTCGAGAATATTAATACCTTGTGTTTATTGGGGGGGGGGGGGGGGGGGTTGGTTCAATTGTATAATTGGCCAGGTCTGTGGCACTACTGGTGGTCGACGTTGGCCAGGTCTGTGGCACTACTGGTGGCCGACGTTGGCCAGGTCTGTGGCACTACTGGTGGCCGACGACGACGATGGTGACTGGTTGCAGGTAGTGACTTACGGTGGGTAGGGATGTTCTTGTTAAGTTTAAAACGTTTTTGGTTGTTAGAGTGTTTTTGCTAAATCTGAAAAGTGGGGGGTTAAAAAAATTATTTAAAAAATAATAATAAAAAATATTATTATATTACTCCCTTCGTTTCAATATAACTGTCGTTTTAAGTTTTTACGCAGTTTTTAATAAATCAAAAACTATGCAGAGAATTGACTTTTTCCTTATATTGCAGGTGGGAAAATTTTGTTTTCTTCGCTGCAACACATGTGTGAAATATTAAAATAAAAAGAGAGAAATTGTGAAAAAGAAGAGATGAGGGGAAGAGATAGATAAAGAGAGAGAGAGAGGAGTGTCGGGCAGGGTGGAGAAAAAGGTAGAGAGAGGAGATGGGGGGCAGAGTGGAGAATGAAGATGTGAATAAGAAAACATTGAAAGACGAGAACGTCATCTATTTAAAAAAAATTAATACTCTCAAAACGATTTTTATAAAGAAATAGAGGGAGTAATATTTAAAAAAGAAGGGTAATTTAGTAATCTATATAACATACCCATCCATTTATCCTCTCAACCAAACCTATTATTTACCAATTTATTCGAACCAACGAAATACATTTTCTAAACATTTATAGTAATCTTCAAGGTGATCTTTTTTTATGTCAATATAATATCCCCTATAATAAAATATTATATGATCCAAACACCCCCTTGGGTTGTCAGTAAATGCCCATGACAATTGATTGTCCAGATGAGCGGGGTTCAAATTTGTAGTGCATTGAACAAAAATTATATTTTGTAAATTAATACCAAAAGGATTTTTGTTGATACGTGATTCTGACACAAACAACGTCGCACGTGTAAAGTACTAAGAGAGTCTTAGAAATTACATGTGAAATGATTATGAAAGTTATGGTGACATGTTTGTAGAAGCATAAATAAAAGATTGACAATATAAGATTTTTATAGTGGTTCGAATGCTTAAAGCGAATCCTACGTTTACTGCTATTTTATTATTTTCTTATTATTATTTTTTTTTGATATTACCTGTAAGGCATACAAAAATGGTATAATGTTTTATTTACAGAGGAAAATAATTGTCAAAGCTCAAATGTATGCTTAGCTCTCATATGTCCGACCTAATTTTTTTTTTTTATAAAGAAATGTGTTAATTTATATACTTTTGAGTTTAACATAGTGAGTGCTTTTATAAGTTACATTGACACATAAAAAACTCTTATTTATCCTAATCTTTTATTTGAATAAAAATGGGATATGTGTTATATAATATCTTTTCAAGATAGTCTAGGTTTTGACAGTTAATACCACTTTACGTTTTTAAGTGTTTGTTAAGCATGTACTAACATCCATGTGTATTTTTAGCATAACAGTTTTAAAATGTTCCTTAAGCTTGCTTAAAAGAATGAAAACAATATGGTAGGTAAGAATTCCTTATCCAGTTGATTAAATTATATATTTAAAGTCATGGTGCGGCATTCCGAGGTGGGCAAAGCACAACGATGATTCGTGGGCATATAACCTTTTGTTACGGGGGTAAGTTTGGCTCATTTGTCGTTTCCGTTTTTAATATCTCTTGTCTTTATCATCAGTTATCACTTATCAATACTTTACTAAAAGATTGAATGTTCGCTGTTTGGCCATCATTAGTCACGCGACTCACACCGCACCGCCCATTGAAGAACTTAATTGGACTAGTGAATTGATGTTAGACCTTAACGTCCAAGTCAAAGTCAAACCGCAATATCCATAACCACCACGTTACTTATTAATATCTTATCCTCTTTTTCACTCACATTAAACACTTCGTTTCTGACACAAACTCAAACGCCTAAAGTTTCTGTTGATGCTCGATTTTGACACCAATTAATTGTCACGTGCGTAATATTGATTGACTAAGAAACATACGTGATAATGAATATAGAAAGCAAAATAAATATAAGGAGAGTTTTTAAAGTGGTTCAGATGCTAAGGTAACAAGTCCTACGTCCACTGATTTGTATTGATATTGATAATATAGGTCAAGTCGTGACAACGGACTGACTTACAAAAAGTTGGGAAATAGATATAAAAACGTGAGAGAGAGAGAGCTTTTTTTGTGTCAAATTATCGAATCCCTTTAATGAAGGGGTCTTCTTCATTTTATATCAAACTAAAGCGTGTAATCATCATTAAATCCATGGTTGGTGTGATTGTCAGAATATAATCCGGCTTTATGTCACATTGCTCTCTTCCCAAGCTGATTTCGCACGATTTATCGCAGGGGAAAGGGACACGTGTGAGCTTCATATCATTTGGCAGGTCTGACGTGTGCTTGTTGCTCTGACGGAAGCAGGTCACTCTTCACGTGACTTTCCCACATCAGCCCTTATTTTCCCAGGCATAACAGTTTCTTTTAAATTATGAGGTCTTACCATTACCCACTTATCAAATTACACGTTATCCTCATGCGTCTCTTGATGTAATACCTCAACGTTTGGCTAGTTTGTGGTGCGAGAGTGGTCCTGAAATCTGTCCGAATGATCAATGGATATAAAGATAAGCCGTTGTGTTTTGCCAAAATTAGATGAGCTTATTATTAGGGTGTTTGGATTCTGTCTTGAGGGACAGGATAAAATTGATGCTAATTGAATAGATAAACTATTGTTTAGACAATAGTAGAAATTTATTTGGCCGCTTTGGAGAAAAAGTCCCATCTCCCATAGGTTTGGATAATAGTTTATCATGACCGTGAATTAACACATCCATCTTAATGTATATTATTTTTTCATCAATTTTTACTTTGAATCCACAGAAACGATGACATTAATGAATTTTTTTATCTATTCCAATTTACAATAGGGAATTTTATATTGACCAAATAACGTTATTAGATCAATAGTAAATTTGGTTGTATAAATTACAAGTTTATTATGAAAGAATATCTCCTTAAAAAAAAAAGGTCATTCAAATATTCATATATTGCGATGGTCTGGAGGCTGCTCACTTATATACAAAAGGGTATGAAAATGAGAATACTTTTT